TATTATTTATGTTTTTAATATGGCAAGTGTTAAAATTGTTAGTATTTGTGTGAAAATGTGAGAAAAAAAGTCTTATATTAGGGAAATTATATGTTAGTGCTTACTTTTTCTTGTTATAAAAGGAACACAGTATTTAATTTGTAAATCATCTCAAACCTCTTCCTTCTCCTTTTCACTAGTACATTGTATAATAGTTGAGTTCTCTTATTTCTGAGAGAGAATATTATTATTGTTTTCTCCTTATATTTAAATAGGACATTATAATTTCTTCCAATAGTAAAATTCTATTATTGCCTATTGTCGATTTTATTTATCTTTTATTTTAATTATGAGTTCTTATGTAATTACTCTAATTTCTAACCATTTGAATATTAACTATATAAAAACTGCACTAATATTACCTACATATGCAGGTTTGTAAGAATGTCTTTATCATTTTCTAAATCAAAGAGACAAAGACGTGTGTTAAAAGAAAATGGATTAGAAGAAAAGGGATAAAGACAATAGATGGTGATAAATCAATCTATCCTAAAAATTTGTTTCATTTTCTTGACATTACTTTAGTAATGAAAGACAAAAGAAACACAAATATTATGCAAAATATGACAATAAACTTGTAGTCCAACCAAAGATAATGAATTTTAAATTCGTTATGGTTGAGTTTGAATTCTCTCAACACCTACTTTTTCAAGGATTAGATAGATTTCTCATATGAATAGATTCTTATTAGAATAACCTTATCAAAGTTTTCTACACAAATTTAAAATTATTAGATACAAATAATCTAGGAAGTGAGGTCCAACCAATAAAATAAAGTTCAATAACTTATTCAAATGCGACAACTTACTCATTTTGACATATTTAAAATATTAATGATTATTGATCTTACTAACCTCTTTATATATATATATATATATATATATATATATATATATATATATATTCTCAAAAAAATTATATTTTAAATGAAAAAATTAACAAAGTATTAAAATATTAAGTCAATTAAAACAAAATATCAAATTAATATATTTAATAAAATGGCTTACAAAATTTTATTAAAGTTAAATAATATTTTTTAACAAATTACTTAATCAATATATATATATATATATATATATATATATATATATATATATATATATATATATATATATATATAAAGAGGAAACGGTGCTAATATGACAATACTTTGATCAAAATTTGTTAAAAATATTATTTAACTAATAAATTTTGTAAGCAATTCCATTAAATATATTCTTATTTTAATTATGAAATTCTATTTATAAGTTACTTGTTATTAGTTTTATTTCTCACATTTTTTTCAGGTGTAGTAACTAATTTTTTTGAAGAAAAATAAAAATAAATGCAGTAGTTAAATTAAAAATGAAATTATTTTGCAATAATTACAGTACAAATGTTTTAACATTTTTTTAGACGCAATGTAAAATTGTGTTTCCTGTCTTATCAATAACATATTTTCTCACACATATTAGTTTTATATACACCAACAAAAACTGAGATAAAATAAAACATTTATTTTTATTTTCATGTTTAACCAAAATACTTTATTAAATATAAATTAAATTATTACATTTTATTTATTTAAAAAATTTACACTGTACATGTTATTTCATTTTTAATATTCTCAAATTAAAAAATGCAATAAAAATAACTTAGTTTTATAATTATTAATAAAGGTTGTTGCATGACGACGCATGAGCATGAGGATGTTGCATGTTCATGCAAGAGTGTCCCATCATCATATCATATGAGAAAATGGAAATGGAATGGCGAAGAGACATGACATCATATCTTATGCTGGCATGTGACTGGGCCACGTGGCATCATGTAGACACAGTGGACCGTTGGAAATGCGAGAAAAATATCTTGCGAGGTGCGAGCCTCGACCACTAGATATTTTCTCGGTGCCCCAACCACTCACATGCACACGTGTCCGTACATCACTGGTTCTGATTTCACGACGTTATTCTGACTTTACACCGAAAGTTAATTATTTGTTTTTTTCAAATTTATATTTTATTTTAGTGCTTAAATATTTTTTTAGGGTTTTTTTTTATATTGCTATATTTTCTTTGTAAGTATATTTAGGTTTTTATGTGAAATAAAAATATTGATTAATGATCTGTTAACCTCACCTATGTTAAATAGTTAAATGTACTTTTTTTTTTATAGAAATGTGTTTTTAATGGTATGAATACATAAGAGATTGGAAACATAGTTAACAAAGAAAAAAATACATAATTGGACTATCAGACTTTATTAATTAACATTGCTCATTCATATTCAGATTAAATATATTAACAAAGAAAAAATAACAATTAAAATTTTTATGATAAATTATCCCATCAAATTGAAAAAAAAAAAACTCACTTTATTTATCAGTGAATTTTGAATATTTGAATTCAGTTGTTATTAAGAAAATAACGTCATTATAATAGCTTGTATACAATTTAAACATGTATAAGCTTTTGCATTGGAAATCGTTTTTCAAGTGTATTGGTGAAGCATCAAAACAAATGTTTATGGGTAATTAGTTTATATTATATATGTGCAATAAATTGCCAAGGAATCAAAACTTCTATCTCCGGTGAAGTAGGTTCACACTGTGTACAAGCATGGTTTACCTAACATACTTTCATTCTTCAAAATGTTTCTTAGATTTTTTTTTTAATATTTTATCTAATTTTAGTTTCTTTAATTCAAATATAAATTACTTAAAATTTGTTTCAGTATAAATAAATTTCTTCTAATTTTAAATAACTTATGATAAAATATTATTTTTTTCCTGAGCCACTCTTTGTTATTCATTCTAATTAGCAACTCCCATCTATGCTCTTATAAGAGTAAAGAAAGTATTTTATCCGAGTTTCTTTACAAGTTTGGTTTCGCTTTATGTATTAATCTATTTTATAAAAAAATTATATAATTATATGCAAGGGGAATGCGAATATTTAAAGACAAATGACTCAACCATTTTCAAAAGGCTATTATTACGGTCACCATGATTAGATACATGATACATGAATGTAGAAGATGATGTACAGAATACATACTACCACATGACGTGGCAAACACTGTGCTAAGAAGCGTGAGGAAAATATCTTGCCACGCACACAACTTCTCCAAACTCTCCTAAAAATCTTCTGTTCGCTTCGTTCCGCTTCGTTTCTCTTCTTTTTCACTGTCTCTCACCGTAACCCAACACCACGTCACCACTACCACCACCACCGTTTCTGAACTTTTTCTCTCGTTAGTTTTTTATTATTATTTTCACAAACAACACGAAAATCTCATTCTCGCAGCTGCAGCGTTTCTCTTTCTAAATCAGAGAACTGTTTTTCATTAGTTGATTCAGTCCGTATATACAGATTGTCAGGTACATGTACAGATTTTTTCTTAATTTGTTATTTATTATTATGCAGTTTTCTGATGCATCTATTTTCGGATAATATCCTGTTTTCGAGTTTTGTTGTAATATTTGTGTTGATTTTTGAACTGGATTTGATTGTTTTCATTCTTTGCTATTTTTCTCTTGGATTTGTTAATTTTTGAAGATTAGATGAACTGTTCGATCATGAAGAGACTTGAATAATTCTACCAGAAAGTCTCAATTGCATTAATTTATTTTCTGTTCTTGTTCTGATTGATATAACTCGTTCGGGCATTATATATGCTACAGTTTTTTTTCTTTCTTTTTTTTCTTTTTTGATGCATCCTGTTTTCGAGTTTTGTTTTGTGTAAGTGTGTTGAACATTGAAGTTGATTTGACTTTTTCTTTTTGAAAATGGAGTAGTGAATCAGAGTTGTTACTAGATATTTTCGTGCTAGTTTTCATTTTTAATATTTTTTTTAAAACCGATAAATTATTAGGTGGTCCTTGAAACCAGTTTTTAAGATAAATTGACCTGGTGAAAATTCAATGTTTATACGAGAAGGTCTCAAGGTCTCAATATCATTGCTTTTTTTTTTTTTTTCTCTGTTCCTGCTCTGATTGATAGAGCACATTTTTAAAATGTAGTAGGATGAAATTTGCTAATGTATCTCCTCTAAAAAAGAGAGTAGATATAACATATGCTTGTAAGATTTATTGAGCCACTTGTTCTTTTAAAAAAATATGATAACAAATATATTTTTCATTAATCTTAAAATAAATTAAGTATAACTTGTTAACATGATCATATTTTATTATATTTTAACAAAATATCACGTTATTTATCATATGTATAAACGATAAATTAAGTGATTTTGGATTAATATCAAATTTTTATATACATTATCTATACATGATACTGACAATCAATCTAGTAGATTTTGAAAAAATTATATATATGATCGTATGGAAAGTTATGGAATAATATAATAGTTGGTAAAAGTTACATGAATACAATTTAATTATATATATATATATATATATATATATATATATATATATATATATATATATATATATTCTGAAAATCAGATTTTGAATATTAGCTTAACTGTTTGGTCTTGAAGAAAACTGAACGCTTCTACGAAAATAATACCAACTTCATTGTTGCTTTTTGTTTACCAAAACTGTTCTTGCTCTGTTTTTCTTTATATAAGTTAATTTGGATTTTCCCCCATTCTAGTGCTGTAGTGGAGAGAAGCTAGGAAGTTTCAACGTTTTCAAGTGTAAGGATTTAAGCATCGTGGGGGAACCTACAGTAGTGAGTAATTAGAATTTTCTGATAGGTGCTTTGATTTGTCATTTCATTGTACAATTTGTTTAGTGTTTATTATTTATTCGTATTTGCGGAAATTTGAATTCTGGTGTATAGCAATTTTTGTTGATTGATACTAAGGTGAAAATATGTGGGCATGCTAAACAGGGAATGTTGAATTACGATATTTTAATTCTTGATTGGTAGCTGGTTTTGGCCGGATTTGGGTTTTTGGTTTTGATATCAGAAGCAGAAAGGAATAAGAGTTGAAAGCGAAAGCATATTTCTGTTTCCATGGCTGCATCCAGTGAAAGATGGATTGAGCGTCTTCAGTTCTCCTCATTGTTCTGGCCTCCCCCACTAGAAGATCAACAAAGAAAGGTACCATGTTATGCTAATGATAAATATTTTAACTTAATTGGTCTCTGATATAAACTGTAACTCCACTCCATTGTATCTTAGTTTCTCTCCTTTTGAAATTTTAACAATAATAATGACAATAATAATTTATCACAGCTACTATTACTATGTATAATGTTCCACTGCTTCACATTAAGCTTGTAGAACTTGAGCAGCTAATGTAGAAGAAAGGAGGGAAAGTTTCAGCGATTTTGGTTGCAAGAAAATCTTTGAGGAAAGTAGCAGTTATCATGTTTTCATGGTTTAGTGACATTGATTATGAATATAATAAATATCCTTTTAAATCTTTATATCTCTTTAGAATTATCTTTAGGAATTAAGTTGGACCCAATCAAACCTGTTCATGAAGAAATGTCAATTTTCAGGATATCTCATTTAATTATATTACTTTCTTCATTTGATTTATGTGTTGTTTAAGTTTTTTTTTATATATATATAATTTTCCAAATTGACTTTAATTTACTTCATTCAACGCAATAATTAAAATTTTATTTCAATAATATCCTAAACAAATGTTCACACTAATGTAAACTTTTTCATCATTATCAATAAATAAAATAGGTGAGGGAAAATTTGCTTTGGTAGAATAATAACCTATTATCTTCATTATTACTAAAAGAGAAGAGTATAAGGATGTTGTATAAAAGATTTTTATTCATTAACTTATTTATTGTTTTTCTTAATATGTGTGAGAAATTTTTAAACGACCTATATCAAATGAAATTTAGCAAATATCTATTTTTAATTATATTATCTCTCTTTATTACATGCTAATTTTAAAAAAATATAGTTATAGTACAATTGTTTAAATATTTTCAATTAAACTTATCTTATTATGAATATATTATTAACTTCACATTTTAATGAAATCATATTTTATTTTATATTATAGTAATTTTTATCATTATTTATTTAAATGAAATTGTACTAATTATTGTTATTATGAGTAATTATTTATCGCCAAACTAAAATTAAATTATATGTTAGTTAAAGTTTTAACACATTTTATTTTCTTTAAAATATTGTTGTTGTAACTCTAATGATTATAATTGTTATAATTATACTATTATATTCAAATTTAAATAAAAAAAAGTAAAAATAAAAAATATTATTTTTAGATTAAGCAGATTCTTGCAAAGGATGTAGTAAAATAAATGTGTACAAGAAACCGTTAACCAGGGTATTTTCAGGGGTTAAAATGTTATTAATTATTAATTTATTTAATCAACTCTTTTTTATGAGCATTGCGCTGTGAGTACTGAAGGCTTTACATAATTTATTTTTCCTATTAGATTTGACAGCCTTCGAGTAACAAAAGAAAACATAAGGAACACACTTATTGAATAAACTTAAATGTCAGTATTTTAATTGAGCAGTTTTTGTTTTTTTGTTATTAAGGTGAAAGGTTAAGTGTGAATAGTTATATTTGTGTTTTGATTGTAGACCATTAACAAAGTTTAAGACTTGGACTTCAAAAAGTCTAATTCCAATATATAAATACCTAATTGTATTGTTTGAAGAAACACACAAAAAGAAATAAAGTATCTAAGAGAAAATTTTCACTTATCAAATCAAATTGGTATTAGAGTTTGAGTGTTTGAGAGTAATGGTCAGTATGACAAATAGTGTGCCTCTACCCTGACTGACAAAGGCAATCAATTTTGACAATTGAAGTCTATAGATGAAGGTTCTTTTTGGATCTCCAGATAATTGGGAGGTTATTGTAGATGGTTTTAAAGAACCACCAAGTATTGGGAGCTACTCGATAGCCCAAAACATGACGTTGAAAGAGACACATGCGAAGGATAAGAAAACTTTATACATGTTGTACTGCACTGTTCATGAGTCTGACTTTGGAAAGGTAACAAATGCTTCAACTTCAAAAGAAGTGTGGGAGATTCTAGAGATAATATACTGGGGAGCTGATGAGTTAAGCAAGTTCGACTACAAATGCTATATAGAAAATTGGAGAGTATGAAGATGAAGGAACCAAAAGGAGTTTCCGAGTATATCACGCGTGTTGAAACCGTGGTGAACCAACTCAACCAAAATGAAGAAAAATTAACTAATGGCTGAGTTGTAGAGAAGTTTTTGAGGTCATTAACTGATGAATTCGAGAATGTTATATGTGCAATAGAAGAGTCAAAGGACCTTGCAATGTTCATAGTAGATGAGCTAGCTGGTTCTCTCAAGGCACACGAATAACGAAAGAAGAAGAAGAAGAAGAAGAAGAAGAAGAAAGAGGAGACACTTGAGTAAGCGTTCTAGCTCAAGAAGTCTACGAAAGATGATAAGGCCCTCTACTCTCAAAACGCTTGAAGTAGAAGATGAGGTCTTGGAGGTTGAGGTAATGGCCGCGGAGGTAGAGGTCATGGTCAAGAATTATACAATGAAGAGAAAGAAAAATCTAACCAACAAAATTGGCATGAAAGAGAAGGATGAGGTCATTGGAGAGGAGATCAGTCGTCAAGCTATTCCAATGTCAAGTGCTTTAAGTGTGACACATACTGTCACTATGCAAAGGATTATAACTCAGACAAGTGCTATAATTGTGCTAAGGTAGGGCATTTTGCTAAAGAATGTCAAACTTATGAAAAAGTGGAAGAGGCTACCAATCTCACATAAGATATAGAAGCTTTAGTCTTGATGACTAATGATAACTTGGCAGAGTATAACTCGATAATATGTGAAGATACTGATTACAACTTGATATGGTATCTAGATATGGGTGCAAGTAATCACATGTGCGAGGATGAACACTTATTCAAAGAATTAAAGAAAGTTGAGACTAAAAATGTGTCTTTCGTAGATGCTTCAAAAGTAAAAGTAAAAGATCGATGTACGATTTGTTACCTATAGAAGGATGACTTAGTCGGGTCAATCCAAGATATATATTAAGTTCTAAATTTCAAGAGTAACATTTTGAGTATGAAAAGGTTACTCGGTATACATGAAAGACCGAGTACTACATGAGAAGAATAAGTTTGAGAGACTGATTGTCTGAGTTGAAATAGGGAGAAAATGGATGTATAAGTTGAACTTGAGAAGTATTTGTGAGAAATGTTTGAAGTATAACATAGAAGACATGGTGTTAATGTGGTATCACCGATTTGGTCACTTGCATTTTGGTGGTCTAATCAACCTGGCGAAAAAGAACACATGGTGCACAGACTACTGAGCATGAAGTTCAAGGAGAGATTTTGCAAATAATGTGTACTTGGTAAGCATGTGAGAACCTCTTTTCAGAAGAAGGTTGAATATCAAGCAAAGGATCGACTCGAATTAATTCATACCTTTGAATATTTTAGTGCTAAAAGGTATTTTATCTCTTTTGTTGATGATTTCTCACATAAAACATAGGTTTATTTTTTGAAAGAGAAAATTGAGGTGTTTGAGGTGTTTAAGAGGATCAGAGTGGTGGTAGAGAAAGCAATAGGTGATCACATCTAGTCAATCCGATTTGATAATGATGGTGAGTATACATCGATAGCCTTCATGAATTATTGTGAGAAAGAAGGTATAAGGAGATTTCTAATAACGTCTTACTCACCTCAACAAAATGATGTGGCTGAAATTTTGGGCAAAAGTTGTGCAACGTGCCAGCTATGTACAAAATAGATGTCCACCTTCAAAACTAAATTATCAAACTCCACAAGAAGTATGGAGTGGACAAAAATCATTAGTGACTCATCTTAAGGTATTCGACAACGTTGCTTATGAACATGCACTAACTCAACAAAGGATGAAGCTCGAAGATACGAGTAAAAAGTTTGTTTTTATTGGGTATGGTGAAAAAACTAAAAGTTACAAGCTGCTAGACTCAATAAACAAGAAAGTGGTGGTGAGTTGTGATGTCTATTTTGATAAAGTAAGTAAGTGGAATTGAGTGACTCATTAGAGAACATTAGTGGAAGTGCAAATCGTCAATTGCTATACCACCAGTTATAGCAAATTCTAAAACAACTGATGATGATGAACCACAATAGCCCAGAATGCAGAGCTTGCAAGCTTTATATGATTCGACGAATGAGGTACATATTGTATGTCTTTTGACAGATTTCGAGAATATAAACTTTGAAGAGATAGTGTGAGATGAGAAATGGCAAGTTGCTATGGACAAGTAGATCCGAGCCATTAAACGCAACAACATGTGGGAGTTGACCGATTGACAGATTTCTCGAGTTATTCTTGGCCTATTTGTGTTCAAGAAAAAGTTGAATGCTCAAGGTGAGATAAAATGATACAAAGCTCGACTAGTTGCAAAGGGATACAAGCAGAAGGAGGAAATTGAGTATGACAGGGTGTTTGCTCTGGTACCAAGAATGAAAACAATTCGACTGCAAATTTCTTTAGCAGCTCAATTCAAATGGCTGATATTACAAATGGATGTGAAGTCGTCATTTTTTAATGGTGTACTTGTAGAAGAAGTCTATGTTGAACAACCATTCGGATATGTGAAAAAGGGAGAAGAGGGGAAAGTGTTGAGATTGAAGAAAGCCTTTTATAGGTTGAAGCCAACCCCTTGGGCATGGAACACTTGTTAAATGCTTAAAGGATAACAGGTTTGAACAATGCCCTTATGAACATATTGTTTGTTGATCTTGATGTGGATAATCTCATTTTCATTGGAAACAATGATGAAATGATTCAACAATTCAATAGCACAATGGAACAGGAGTTTGATATGACAGACTTGGGTGTAAATAAGTTCTTCCTTGGTTTGAAAGTTAGACAAGATGAGCCAGAGATATTTGTGTCCTAAGAAACATATGCAAAGAAAATATTGAGTAAGTTTAAAATGGTAGGTTAAAATCTAGTTTCCACACTCATAAAACTAGGAACAAGACTTTCTAAGTTTGATGAGAGAGACTGATTTGATGCAAGCAGATATCAGAGCTTTGTGGGAAGTCTTTATTATCTCACAAGTACTAGACCGGATTTGTTGTTAAGTGTTGGAATTGTTATTCGGTTCACCGAGGAGTTGAGCTATACACATTAGAAGACGCTAAAGGGAATACTAAGGTATATTCGAGGAATTGTGTTACTCGGCCTAATTTATATAAGGTTGGATAATTACAGGTTAGTTGGATACTCTGATAGTGATTGTTGTGGAGACGTAGATGATAAGAAAAGTAGATCGGGAATGTATTTTTCATGTGTAGCATGGCTTTTACTTGGCTTTCAAATGAGCACTCAACAGTAACACTTTCAATGTGTGAAGTCGAGTATTAGGCAACATCTTGGTGTGCATATGTCATGTAATGTGACCCAAGATCTGTTAAGCTCGTTGGAGCAACAATAACTCAGCACGAATCTGAGTTGATAACAAGTCTCTAATTGAGTTAGCAAAAAACTTAGTTAATCATGAGAGGAGTATATATATTAATGTTCGTTTTCACTTCATTTAAGAACATGTGAAGGAAGACAATGTGAAGCTAGTGTACATGACAAGTCGAGATCAAGTTATGGATATATTCACGAAGCCACTACCTTTTGTATTGTTCGGGAGTTACAAAAAGTTGATTAGGATGAAGGATGGAAGAAATATTTTAAGTTTCCAGGGGAATTTTGTTGAATAAACTTAAATACCATTATTTAATTTAGCAGCTCTTTTTTCATTATAAAGGTGAAAATTCAAGAATCAATAGTTATGTTTGTGTTTTGATTATAAACCATTAACGAGTTTAAGACTTGGAATTCGACATATCAAATTTCAGTTTATTAATACCTAATTTTATTGTTTGATAAAACACAAAGAAAGAAATAAAGTATATAAAGATAGAGCTATTATGTTTTGTAGTATTATGTCTAACTTTTGGTCTTTATATAACCGAAATAAAGGATCAACAAACATAAAGAAAAGCAATGAAGAAGAATAAGGAAAAGATGATGGGAATGTGTAGCAAATTGAAAGTGGGAATAAACGTGGGAAAGATAGAGGGGATAAATGAAGATAATATTGACATTTCCAATTATTAACCACTAAACGAACCATGAAAATGAGTTATAAATCAGTTTAGTCCAGTCCTAATCTTCTTATATGTAACTGAAAGTATATGTTTCCAAGCACTACGTATAAGCACTTATATGTTACACACTATTGTTTTATCATGTACTTCATTGTTATGACATATTTCTAATATCTATTAGGATCAAATTGCTGCGTATGTCGAATACATTGGTCAATTTACATCTGAACAATTTCCTGACGATATTGCTGAGGTATGATAAATGCAACTATATTTGCATATAAACTCAAAAGGTCGAAACAGAAATACATAATTTTTTTTTGTAGATTCAATAAAATTATTGTGCTTTGACATATGGAATTCAGACGTTTGTATCAAACATACTGTTTTTTGTTGCTTTGACAGCTGATCCGCAACCATTATCCATCAAAAGAAACGCTCCTCTTTGATGGTGTTTTGGGTATTTATTCTTTACTATTATTTTCAATTACGATTTATTCAACAATAATTAGTGACTAATTCTTATCCAAATAACTTATTTATTCATTCACATGTACATCCAGCGGTACTTGTCCTTCATCATCCAGAGCATGGGCATGCTGTTGTGCTTCCAATCATTTCATGTATTATTGATGGTACGCTGGTCTATGATAAGACTAGTCCTCCATTTGCTTCTTTCATTTCTTTAGTCTGCCCAAAAAATGAGGTATAATCCCTTGGCTTGTATATTGATTTTCTTTGTACATAATTCAAATTCATAGAAAAGTAAGTTTGTAGTTTGTGAAATGCAAACGCAAATTATTACTTAAACGAAACCATTATGACTTTTAGTTTCTAATTGATTTAAGTATATAATTTATTCAGCTTCAGTATCTGAAAAGATGTTCCTGCCAACCTTTTGATTTATTGTGTAATTTTTCAGAATGAATATTCAGAACAATGGGCTCTGGCATGTGGAGAAATTTTGCGTATTTTAACTCATTACAATCGCCCCATATACAAAATGGAAAGAAAATATTGTGAAGCAGAAGGAAGCAGTGGTGAAAACCATGCAATGACTAATGATTCCGTGGATGGGGAGTCTGGCCATAATTCTTTGATGCAGCAGGAGAAGAAACCTATAAGACCCTTGTCCCCTTGGATTACTGATATATTATTGGCTGCACCTTTAGGCATTAGAAGTGACTATTTTCGGTGGTGAGTATTTTTCGTTAGTCTTACAAATCCATATATGACTTTGCTTCTTTCTATTTGGATAGATGATATTAGCTATGAGTCTATAGACAAGTTTCTCCAAAAATATTTCTAGGAAAGAAAAAAAAAAGTTTTTCTATAAATTAATATTACTTTATGCACAAGTTAAAAATAACAATTTAGCAAAACTTTATGAAAGAACTTCTACAAATTAGCTTATACATAACTTTATTTTATTTTATGAAGAAGTTTATTTTATTTTCTCCTAAAAATGTTTTTGGAGAAGTTTGTCCAAATTTACTCTATGTTATGTATGTTTTAGCTGTGAATGCAAGTTCCGGGGCATTTTGTGGTCCAGGCTGTTTCTATTCGTGCAAAACCCAATTGTATCTAATATCTAATGACTCGTGAGTTTTGGAAACCAAAATATATTGCCCATCACGGTTTTGTTCACTTTTGAACCATCGTTTGTTGGTGTTTGACAGGGTTAACGTAGAATGGAGTATAGCATAACCAAGTTCTGCACTGTGATTTTAGTCTCTGATTCTATTGGTTTGCTTCTCTTGCAATTGTTAGCATAATCTATAAAATGATTGATTATATTATATCAACATGGTTGAATCAAATGGGTTTAGTTATCTTGTTTCCTCTTTGGTTCCAAGTAAACTCCACTTAAGTTGATTGAAATTGTCATGCATTAACAGGTGCAGTGGTGTTATGGGTAAATATGCCGCAGGAGAACTCAAGCCACCTATGATTGGTACGTTATCTCTTACATAATCAAACTCAAGTTTTCTGACTTTGTACTAAGGTTAATGCGATATTTGCATAATTTGGAGTTTAATTCGGGTAAATATGCCGCAGAACAACTCAAGTTTTCTTTCTACGCTTGCCTTTTTGAATAATCTATCCATGAAACTTCAAATAAAAATTGACTTTTTCCTACCTTTTGTAATTCTTAGCATAAATCCTCCAATGTTATTCAAGTGAAAACCTTTTTTGGACTTAGTACTGGAGATCCGCGTTGACTATGATATAGTCAAAATAATGTATATAATTGGAGGCCCAAACACATTCTTAGAAGGTATCAAAACCAACACTAAATATGCTATTAGTCCACCCGTATTTGAGGGGGATTTGGTAAGATCCCACTAACTACAAATATGGACGATCTTGTTCTTATAACAAGCCTTAAGCCTAAATTCAAAGCGTACTCATGTAGCAATTAGTTCCTTCATTTCCAATTTCGCATTGAATGGGAGAATAAAAAAGCATTGATGATGATTATGTTTCTGTTTAAAAAAAATTTATAATAAAGAAGGATCTTTTCTTAATTGAGTTTGTTTTCCCATAGTTTCTGCTCGTGGTTCTGGGAAGCATCCTCAACTCATGCCCTCAACTCCAAGATGGGCAGTTGCTAATGGTGCTGGTGTTATATTAAGTGTTTGTGATGATGAAGTTGCTCGTTATGAGACTGCTACTTTAACAGCAGCTGCTGTCCCTGCACTACTACTTCCTCCTCCAACAACAGCTTTGGATGAGCATCTTGTTGCTGGATTACCAGCTCTAGAACCTTATGCACGTTTATTTCACAGGTTATTCTGAACTCAATACCTCTCTAGTTATTTTGTTGCCCCTGGAATGCATTGGCCTGAGAAAATTGATATACCAAAATTGTCTAGATATTATGCCATTGCGACTCCTAGTGCAACTCAAAGACTGCTTCTTGGGCTGTTAGAAGCACCCCCATCATGGGCTCCAGATGCACTTGATGCTGCTGTGCAGCTTGTAGAGCTTCTTCGTGCTGCCGAAGAATATGCTTGTGGAATAAGGGTAAGCTGTACAATCTTTAAGCAAATTCTAAAGAGGACATGGTTAAGAACTCGTACACTTTTGTGGTATGTGATATTATTGAAACCTAAATATCAAATACAAAAGAAAAATGATAGGTTGAAAATTGGTTGTGTAATATACAAAATCCAATATAATAATATAATAATACATATAATTATTATATTATTATTTTGGGTTGTCAACATATCATCATCCAATATACAAAAGTCATTAAATACTATTTAAACCTTAGACACACAACATTATCTGTTGATGAATCATACATGAAAATTGTTTATTTATAAATGATGCTCAAGCAGAGGATGAAATTGGTACTATTACTATTTCTAGACAATAAATAATTATTTATAACTTTATTTCACATTTAAACTTTTAGTTTATATGTACATTTGAATTTGATATATTTAATACGTTCAATTTAAGTAACACCTAATGATTATATACAATAATATTTAATTTTTTATGAATTATATATATGCATACGTATCCTATCTTTTTTATTATAAGACGAATCGTCATATTGTATCCAAGCATCATAGATTTGCACAAGTACGCTTTAATTTTTCATTCTTCTTTTGTATCCTCTGAATAAATGCAGTATATATATATATATGTGTGCGCGCGCGCGCGAGCCCATGGAGATGGCATACTAATGTGCATTTTGTTGTTTTGATCAGCAAGAACCTTGTGAAAGTGAAAGCTTAAATCTAATTGACTGATTCAGTTTTTCTTTTTCCCTTCTTTCTCATTGTTAATACAGCTCCCTAGAAATTGGATGCATTTTCATTTCTTGCGTGCGATAGGGACTGCAATGTCCATGAGATCTGGTGTAGCTGCAGATGCTGCAGCTGCATTGCTTTTCCGAATACTTTCTCAGCCTGCTTTACTTTTCCCTCCATTAAGGCAAGTTGATGGAGTCGAAGTTCAACATGAACCTTTGGGTGGCTATATTTCTTCCAACAAAAAGCAGGTTAGGCATTGGTTACCTCATTTTCTTTTTCTCATTTTTTATGTACTGTAGAGCTGGTTCTTTACACATGATGAAGACCCTATAATATATATTTGTTGATCAGATTGAAGCTGCTGCTGCTGAAGCCACTATTGAAGCTACAGCCCAGGGCATTGCCTCAATGCTTTGTGCTCATGGTCCAGAGGTTGAGTGGAGAATTTGTACCATATGGGAGGCTGCTTATGGATTGATTCCATTAAATTCCTCAGCTGTTGATCTTCCAGAAATTGTGGTCGCAACACCACTTCAGCCTCCCTCACTCTCATGGAATTTGTACATACCCCTACTCAAGGTTCTACAGTATCTTCCCCGTGGAAGTCCGTCTGAAGCATGTCTCATGAAAATATTTGTTGCTACAGTGGAAGCTATTCTTCAGAGGACATTTCCAGCTGAGTCGATTAGTGATCAAAAAAGAAAAACAAGATATTATTTTTTGGGCTCTGCCTCTAAAAACCTTGCCGTGGCAGAACTTCGTACTATGGTGCATTCACTTTTCTTAGAATCATGTGCATCTGTTGAGCTTGCTTCACGCCTACTCTTTGTTGTCTTAACTGTTTGTGTTAGTCACGAGGTCCAATTCAACGGAAGCAAAAAACCAAGAGGTGAAAATAATTATTTGGAGGAAATGATTGAGGATTTACATGCACTTTCTGAAAGGCAGAAAGAAACAAAAAATCCGAAAATGAAAAAGCAAGGTCCTGTAGCAGCATTTGATTCTTATGTTCTGGCTGCCGTTTGTGCTCTTGCCTGTGAACTTCAGTTGTTCCCTATGGTTTCGCGAGGAGACAATCGCTCAGTCCCCAACAATGTAGAAAAGAAAACCAAGCCTGTGACAATAGATGGATCTTCCCATGCATTGCAGAGCTGCCTAGATTCAGCAATATACCACACCCACAGAATTTTAGCAATTTTAGAGGCGTTATTTTCATTGAAGCCATCTTCTGTTGGTACCTCATGGAGTTACAGCTCAAATGAAATAGTTGCCGCAGCTATGGTTGCTGCACATATTTCTGAATTATTTAGACGGTCAAAAGCTTGCATGCGTGCTCTGTCTGTTTTGATGCGTTGCAAATGGGATGATGAAATTCACTCTAGGGCATCGTCATTGTACAATCTCATAGATATTCACAGCAAAGCGGTTGCATCCATAGTTAACAAGGCAGAGCCATTGGGAGCAACCTTAATTTGTACCCCTATTTGTAAAGAACCATATGATAGTAGTAAAAGACAAAATCAGTTTGAAAATAATAGCCACCTTGACCCTGGGCAGACATCTACTTCAACTTCTGCATTCCGCTCAGAACTCGGTCAAAAATGTGATAGAACTTCATATTCAAATGAAGCATCAGGATGTAGTACCTTTGGAAAAGGAGCCACAAGTCTTGCATTTGATGCTTCTGATCTAGCCAACTTCCTAACTATGGACAGGCATATAGGATTCAATTGCAGTGCCCAAATTTTTCTGAGATCCAGGCTCGCAGAGAAGCAAGAGTTATGTTTCTCTGTAGTATCGCTACTATGGCAGAAGTTGATTGTATATCCTGAGACTCATCCTTGTGCAGAAAGCACATCTGCTCAACAGGGGTGGAGACAGGTACTATTACATATGTTATACTTCTACAGCTACTATCCTCTTTGCCTTTTTTTTTAATCGGGAACAATTTGTTATCCTCTTTTTTTGTGCTAGAACTATGCATGTTTTAATCTATAACACAAGTCCTTGTCATTATGTTTTTGGAGTTACTGATGATTTGAATTTATAAGAGCAATGCACTGACTCCAGAAGAGTTTATCTTTAGTCCACTAGCGATAGATGAAAGGCATCACCAAATAGCTTACACAACACATAAGTAGAAAAATCCGAGTAGAAAATGTAAAAAGATCATATAGGTTACGTAACATTTAGAGTTAAAAGAATATTAAAAAGGGAATAATCTGAATAGATTGATTTGAAAATATAGGCTAAATGATAATCAAGAAAACAGAGAATAAAATCTCCTAATAATTAAAGGCTAACAAAATAAGTCCTAAATTTGTGCTAACTGTAGGCAAAATATTCTGACCTAAATTACAGATTTTCAACACTCTCCCTCAATGTGTTTTGTCCTACCATTGTTGCATACGATTATGGGCCATATTGATTTATAATAGTTATCACTACATAATCGCAACCTTCATACTTTATCCTAAAATCATCTAGGATGATATTCATCCACAATAGCTCACAAATCCGTTGAGCCATTGTCTAAATGCTGCTTTAATGCTTCATTGAGCAACTACATCTTGCTCCTTGCATCTCCATGTGACCAGATTTTCTCCTGAAAACAAGCAATAACATGAAGTTGATCTTCTATTGAACTACCATAGTCGGCATTTGAATATGCTTTCATAATTAAACTTCCACCACTTTTGATTAATAGTTCTCTCCTCTCCCTAGAGTGCCTTTGATACACCGCAGAATTCAACAGGTTATACGGATGGCAAAACGGGTCAGGTTTAGTGGACCAACTCGCCAGTCCGCTATAATATGGTGGGGCAGGTTAGTGTTTTTAGCCCACTCTGCCTTGTCCCGCCAAGCTTGCCAACTCGTCGGGCCAGCCCACCTAATTAATTAAAAAATAATTTTTTTTTGTAATACAATTAATCATAAAAACAATATATAAAGTTAAAAATTGTAAAAAGAGAATTAAAAAGTCTCTTCTCCTTGATGTTTATCATCTCCTCCTTATTCAACCTAAGCACTATTGTTTTATCTTTATGACTTGAATTAAAGATGTAAAAATTACTTAAAAGAGGACAATGTAAAATTTTATTAAATAAAAAAGATACAGGTATTTAAAATTTTCAATATAAAATATAAAAATTTTACATGTTTTGACGTTATTTATATATTTGTTATTATTTATTATTATATAAATTTTTTTATTATTTTAAATTATAATTTCTTAAAACAATATGTTGATTTATATTATTAACTTGAAATATTAAATTTATTGAAAATTTTGATTTAAAAAAATAAATTAATTTTTTTTTAATTATAACGGGTCGAGTCCGCTAACCTGTCCTTTAACGGAGTGGACCAATGTTTTTAACTCGTCATGATTATAATGAGTCAACCCGCCCTATCCCGTTTTTAACTGACTAAAGATGAAACAGACCAAAACGGGAGAAGCTGGCCGGTTTTGTCATCCCTAACATGTTACAACGGTCTTTCCCTTGGGTTTTGTATGAACTGACTCACAACACCAACAAAATGCTTGGTCTGTTCTGCTTTGCGTTAACTAAATCAATTATCCTTCAAATCTCTTAAAATAGGCCTTGTCAATCTTGGGAATTGGGACTTCCTCTGTTCTGCATCTCTCATCCTAGATTTTTCTCAATGGGAGTACATGTAGTATAGGTTTACATCCTATCCAAGTTTATCTGTCTCCTTGAGAACATTGAGTACATATTTCCTCCAGGTTCCCCTAGGTCCATCACTTAAAACTCAGAACCCAATTTTTCCTCCAGTAGTTTTTTATCTACTGGATCACCCCGCTACTCAAACAATGATATTATTAACAAACACAAGTAGAATGGTTAGAATTCCTCTGTATGAATGTTCGAAGAAGAGGGTATGGTCTCCTTGCCTTTGTAATCTTCCAAACCAAGCATGGGGTGACCACTATTTTAACTTGCTTACATTGATATTTTCATTGGTAGGGCCAAATCTTATGGGAATCTCCATATACACCTCCTCTGAATCTCCATTTTAAAGATGCATTTTAACATTCAATTAGAATAGTTCCCAACCAAACTGGGATGTAGGCTCCTTGCTAAGGGCAGCATCCCCTCATCAGATGGTGGTGCAGTATATCCTCACCACTACCAATTTCGGGGTTTGGCACTAATTGATTGGCCTGCCTTTGTTGAGAACCTCTGAATCTTCTCATGAAACTTAGGACTTTGTCCTTCCCATATAGCTTAAAGTAGGTCTCCTCAGAGCGTCAGATCTCATACAATGAGTGTACCCAACATCCTCCTTGTTGGACTTCCCAATGGTCTTCCAAGGTGAGGATGAGACCCTTGTGCATTTCTAGAGGCCAGTGCTGAACCGTAAACTGGCTTCTTTTCCAACTAGACTGCCCACAATTCTCTTCTCAAACTGTATAGAACAGCTCTAAGAGTGGAGTTTCTCCTTACCCAAAATCTGAAGCAGAGTTGTCATACTCCAAATTGAAGTTAGAGAGAAACTTAATATCCGTCTTCCCGATGCACTTAATGAGTGTCTCAAAATCTTCATTGCACTTAATTTTCAAGTTCCAATATTGTTCCAATTCAATCCATAATCCATTCAAAGTCATAACTGTTGGTTACTGATAAAGCTCCTTGGTTAGTATTTGAAGATCTTATTCTCCAACTCATAACAAGATATATCCTGTTTCATCGAGTACGTTTGACGCAAGTTATCCCAAATCTCTCAGGTATTGAAGAAGAATATGCAATTCCTATCTAATAACTAGATTCATAGAGTCCCATAGCCACAGGAATGAAATCGTCATTATCCCAAGCCTCAAACTGAGGATCATTCTTATGTGGAGCCTTGGGCTTGTACTATTAACATTGGTAATTTTCCTAAATATTGGTAAAATTTGAGTATTATTCTATCGTATACATCTATCAAAAAAATTCAATTTTTTACCATGATCTATCATAAACTTGTAAGCTTTAACACTGATATCAAATTCATAATTCAAAGAAAATAGAGACTTGTTTTGATAATTGAGAGGGAGGAAATGAAACGAAGAGTATCCTATGGGATACTTGAAAATGAAAAGCTAATTATAGTTCTTGTCAGATTTAGTGCATCTATAAATGCATAGTCGAGTGCTGCAAAAATCAGCTATTAATAAACTTCTTGATTGATTGTAATGATTATATACTATATACGTAAGGAAATCTTTAACGGATCTTGCTCCCAGATCTTTACAAGATCTCCCATTATATTATATTATAATAGATCGATCTCCTGGGACCGGGTTAGTCCATAAACATACCCGAAGATTTCAAAATTAATCATCAGAAAAAATGATATTTTAAATAATCCGGAGGGAGGTAACTATTATATATATATATATATATATATATATATATATATATATATATATATATATATATATATATATATATATATATATATATATATATATATATATAAAAACTGATTTCATATCTAATCGGCGGTGAGCGGTGGTGATGGCTATTAAAAGGTGAAACAAGGGAAAAAAATGAAATAAAAAGGACTGGGGATAGGAGAATGCGCGAGGAAACGGGAGATAGGAAAAGGAAAAAAATGGAAGTTTGGAGGTGGGGAGAAAGGGAAGGGAACCGGAGGGGAGAATAGGAAGGGAAAATTTGCTGGATTTAATCACCACAACGGTGGTTTTCGTGGAGTTTTGAAGGGGAGGGAAATGAGGATGGAGTGTGGAAAAAAGAAAAAGAGGGGCGAGCAAAAAAAGAAGGGAGAGGGGGATGGATATGGAGGTAGAATGAAGAAAAAGAGAGATTGCAGAAGGAGAAGGAGGAGGAATGGAAAAAAAGAAAAAAAAAAATAGAGAAGAGAGTGAGAGGAAGAAACGTGGAACAGGAGGGGTGGGGTAAAGCATCTATCAACTTTAAAAAAATAAAATAAAATTATTTTTAATCTTAAATCTTGATTTGAAGATTGTTTTTTCAAATAAATTTAAATTAATATAATTTTTCAATTATGAAATGAATCGTTTAATAAAAAATTTTAAATATATTTTTTATTTTTATAATTACTGATAGAATATTTTAAAATTTATTATTATTATTATTCATCAATATGATATAAAATATTTTTTTTAATAATTAAAATTTAATTAATTAATTATTTATTTAAAAAAATATTATATTAAAATTAATATGTGATCCACAAAAATTATTGAAGATCTTTAAAATACTATCTACCATTCAAATAAAAACTCAAATAAAATCAAGACGAAAGTATAAAATTCCCTTGCAATCTATGATGCCTAGTTTGTAGTACAAAACTCACAATTAATCTCAAGAAATTATAAATGTTTGTTTACACCATATACTTGTGAATCGGATACTCCTTTATATTCCTATTTTCCGTGGGAAAGGTTCATTATTAATCATTATGCGATTTACCGTGATGTAGGTTGTTGATGCATTATGCAAGGTTGTATCTGCATCACCTATGAAAGCAGCTACGGCAGTTGTTCTTCAGGTCTATGTTTGTCTTTTATGAAATGGTTACATAACTGTAGATATGGACTAGGACACCTGTTTTGTTTAGCCAGGATTGTTAGCACTGTTAGCCTTTTATGTATAGAAAGTTTAAATATCTGTTACCGAACAGTTCATCGAACCAGTGTTTTAAATCAGCGTCCCTTTTTGATATATTTTTCTAAAATACCGCATCCTGGATTGCTTATCAGGCGGAGAAGGAATTGCAGCCATGGATTGCCAAAGATGACAATCTTGGTCAGAAGATGTGGAGAATCAATCAGAGGATTGTAAAAGTGATAATTGAAATAATGAGGAATCATGACAGTTTAGAATCATTAGTAGTTGTGGCAAGTGCATCAGATTTACTACTACGAGCTACAGACGGAATGCTAGTGGATGGAGACGCTTATACTTTACCCCAGTTGAAGGTACCATGTTCATACATTAGTTTATCCATGCAGTTTCAAAGTTTCAATTCTTCCAAACAGAAACCTGTCTTCAATTCATGGCTACATGGCAATAAAGATTCTTTCAAATAAAAGGCTAGAATTTTTCTAAAATTATCTTTCTTCATGTTATTTAATCTTTAATTTGATTCCTCGAAATTGATGTATTTAATTCGTTTTGATGAATATATAGGCATATCATATGATTTTTTTTTTTTAAATAAATAGTTATCATTATTTTTTGGTACATATCTATACACACGCATCTACTTATCTATTCCTTGTTGTTTCTTTTTCGTGTCTTAGACAAGTTTAAAATGAGTTCTTAATTTTAAGAATAAATTTGTTTATCTTATTATATATTCCACGTGTGAATTATTTAAAATTAGAAAAAAGTACTTAAGAGAAATAATAGATTTTGGAGAAGGTAATATTTATATATTTTTTTCCCTGGAGGTATGGTAAAAATGCTATATGGTAAGACTTTGTATGAAAAGCAATTATGTATGAAAATAAATTTATGCAATATAGTGTGTGGAATTGTGCTCAAGTATATCACAACTGCTTCCTTTTGTACCTAAGAAATTCTCTCTGCCATAAATCAAGTGTCAGTTGTAAAACATCTGGTTCTTAAGCTTATCAAGTTTTGGTAAAACTGGCCAGCTATTGGAAGCAACGGCTAAAGCGGTTCAGCCTGTGATTGAGTTGGGAGAATCTGGACTTGCAGTGGCAGATGGCCTTTCAAACCTGTTAAAGGTAAACCAAACTTCCTTCTTTTGGACTGAACCTATACTGCATGAAATTTGTTAGTTTAACTTCAAATCGTATTCTAAATTCCTACTGCATATGGACGCAGTATATGCTATCAGAATCAGTCAAAAATCAAGATAAAAAATAAATAAAAACATAAAGGATGACAAAGTCCTTACTGAAATTATTCTATTGTTATCCTGAATTTTTTACAGTGTCCGTATGCGAAGAAGCACAAGCACTTTTAAATAGTAGCATCTTCTGTTGTAATTTGCTATGTTTATAGTTAGGGCAAATTGTGTTTTTACGATAATGAACTTTTAAATTGATGAATTAGCCATCAAACTATTAAAAATGTGAATGTAGACAGTAAAAAATCACCACTGAATATTAAAATTAAGCATAAAAAAGACTGAATTTATGTATTTTAAAAAAGTTGAAAGACTAATTCATCACAGTAAAAATATATGAAACAAAAAAAAATACAGGAACTAAACTCAAATTTAACAAAAAAAGTAGGGACTAAAAACACATTTTTGCCTTATAATTACTTACTCTCATTTTTAAAACGTAAATTCTCTTTTGTAATTTTAAATTTTTATTTATGATAATTTGAAATTACCTTAATACACAGTATGGTATAGTCCTGTCATGTCCTAAAATTTTCCTAAATTTCTGTATCCACAACTGTGCTTCCTAGCTACAAAGCACTGTTTTCATGTAAAAACTGCTCTATTTAAGAAAAGAAACTCTAGTTTTGAAACAAGAGCAACTCATGTGCATGTTCTGTAGTAAAATAGAATGGTTGACCAACCTCTTTGTGCACGTTCAAATGCAGTGTCGCCTACCAGCTACAATCAGATGCCTTTCTCATCCTAGTGCACATGTCCGTGCTCTCAGCACTTCAGTTCTTCGTGACATTTTGCATACTAGTTCAATTAGATCGAGTCCTAAGCGACCACAAAACAATGGCATCCATAATCAGCACTTCAATTTGGATGTCATTGACTGGGGAGCTGACATAGAAAAATGCTTGACATGGGAAGCACACAGCCGTCTTTCAAATGGGTTGTCTATTGAATTTCTTAACACAGCTGCGAGGGATTTAGGCTTTGCAATTTCTATCTGACTTGAAATGGAACCATGTGTAACCATTTAGTCTTATGGCATTTTACCTCCTGTAGAAATCCTAAGAACGCATTTTCTAACACTCTTTTGGACACTAGTGTTGTTTAAAATTTATTAAAAAACACAAAATTGTGAGTTTCATGTCTCGTATAATAATCCCTTTTAATTTTGCAACTTTTAACAAATTCTGACCAATAAGAAAGTATGTCTTAGAGAATGTTGCTACCACTTCTCTTATCTTGAGATTTGCAGAAAACCTAATGTTATTTATGTTTAGGTACTTAACTGTTTGCAAACAAGTAAACCTTCTCGTTCTGTTGGTTTCTGTTAGCAAGTCACGAACACAAAGTTGTTGTACCATCCCACTTTTGCTCAAACATGACATCAAACAATGGTGACCGTGTATAGAAACTAGTTTTGTATTATGCTTTGTTATGTTTACTTAAACGAGCATGTTCCTAATGATCGTGTACAGGAACTGGTTTATGTTTGTTATGTTTACATAACAGCATACTCTTCATGATCACTCTCTCCATATAACTAATATATGAGAATAAAATAGGAGAAAGAGAAACAAAAATGAAGAAAAAAAGTTAAATATATTTAAAAAATAGAAAGAGAAAATAAAATAATATTTAAAATAATATTTTTTAAAAATAGTTATATAAAAATATAGACAAACAAGTATTTTAACACGTATATTTTCAATAGTATATATAAAAGATTTAAAAATTATTTTTTTATTAATCATTTTCCGTTGTCTTTATTCGAATTTCCTCTTTCTATTTTTTTACTCGATTATTGAATTGACATTTTTAAGTGATGAATTGTTTGGTAAATGAGTAATGTTAACAGTTGAATAGTTTTAAAATTATTTTGTTTGAAGAAAAAATCAAGCAATGTAATATAAATACCATTGTTTCCCTTTAATTAGAATTATTTTTATTTCTAAATTCTTTATTTGACAATGAAACTAAAAAAAAATTTAAAACGTAAAGAAAAGTCTATGCTTGTCAATCTTCGTCTTTTTTGGATTTCATGATCGAATAAAAAAATTAGAAAGAAAGAGAATATGTAAATCTTAATGCGAAAAAAACAATACTGTTTCTATATTAATTAATATTTTATTCCAACAAAATAGTTTTAAGAAAATAGGTGTGTGATTCTATTTTATTATTATCAAAATTTTATAATTTATATATATATATATATATATATATATATATATATATTTGTAATTTTAATTTATTTATTTATATATTAATAATATATTAATTATCTCTCAAAATTATTGGTTAAGATTGATTGATGTTAATAACCAAATTTAAAATAAAAACTTTATAAAACTAGAATAAGATAAAATTTATGAGAACTGCGAGCACATTAAGAAAAGATAAATGTATGTGTTCGTCCTATTTATTTGTTGATTCATAATGTATGTTGATAAACGGTATAATCCATAACATAAATAAAAATGTTATCAAGGATAAGAAGAAACTATTGAGAATCATAAATAAAATTCTCATACACACACATATATATTATTAAGTGTTTGTACTTCGTTAAGTATAGTGTTTAAATTATTAAATTTATATTGTAAATATTATTTTATAAGCACAGTCAATACTTCTAAAATAATGAGCTAAGAGGAATGTTGATGTTAAAAATCCACTCTCGGTTCAATTATTGATCTTATGAAATTTAGTAATAGAACCAATACATTACCCTAAAAAAGTATTATTTAGTTTATTATATTTTATTTTTATATCATATATTATGCTTTTTTAATTCGTTCTTTTCATATATTATATTTTAAATATGCTATATACTTTTAATACTATTATATCTTATTATAATTCTTCTTATGATCAATTTAGTTTTTTTTAAAGTATGTGAAAATCAGTCTTAAAATTTAAATAAATAAATAAATAATCTTAAAAAGTCATTTTTTTCCTAAAACTATGTTTATATATTATTATTATTATTATTAAAATATAATTTAGTTTATAAATATATGAATTAAATTATATTTATTATAATTCAAAAAAACTAAATATATTTTGATAATAATATATAAGAATCTATTTAAAATAAAAGACTAATGTAAAAATTAAAAATTACTTTTAGTGATTATTTGTTTATTTGCTAATATTTAATGATAATTAAAATAAATATTTTTAAAAAAAGAAAAATCATTTAATTAAAAAAAACTTGATGAAAGAGGATAAACATGATAATTTGTTTTATTTCTTATTTATATTTTTCTAAAAAAATAAACTTTATTTTAATATATTTCTCACATTTTTTTCTTCCTTTTTTTTTCTTATTCTCTCAATTTTCTTTACGTGTAGATTTCTCTAACTTTCTCACTCCTATTTTCGTCTTTTTCTGAATTGTCTTAATACTTTTAAAATAAAAGATATCATTTTTGTCTCATCAAAAAATTTTATAAATAAAGTAAGTTTTTTTTTTTCAACAAAGCATTTTTGCAATTTTGAGTTAGGTTGTGTGCGGGCTAACTTGCTTTTATTGAGAAAAGATAAATTTTAATTAGTTTAAAAATATCGTAGTATGTGTTAATTTATTAATTGAGATTTTTGTGAGGACGACGTGTTTTTTCTACAAATTTAAGAATTTTAGAGGTTTTTTAGTTTAGATGTACTATATTTGAAGTAAGGGAAGTTAACTTTTTTTTTTATTTCCATAGGACTTTATGTTAAAAGATTTAGATTATAAATGTGACTTGGTCACATTGTTTAAATTGCATGAACTTAGATTATCTGATTATGTGAGTTTATTGTGTGTTGATTGTTTGAGTTTGAATTTGAGTTGATAATTGATTTATATGAAATTGAAAGCATTAGTGTTTTGTTTGGTTGTATTATACTTATATTCAATTTGGTGAATTAATTTGTAAATTAGAGGATAATGTTTAAACTTAATATATTTTGAGCTTTGAAAATAAGACATAGGACAAATTATACAATTTAGTATTATCATAAATCTGCTCACCAAATTTAAGCCAATGTTAAAAATACTTAAATTTTATCCCAACATTTTTAAATCCTCCTAATGGATTAAGACAATGATAAAAGTTCAATTATATAAAAATTTTGTTCAACGAAATTTTGACAAAAATAAACATTAGAATTGCCTACATAATTTATTCAATCATCCAAATTTCACATAACGAATTTGAAATTCGTTTAATATTTTTTAATTTTCACTCAGTTGTTTTCCTAAAAAAAATAAAGACTTTAAAATGTGTTTCTTTAATAAAATGAAAGTAATTTTTATATCTCAATATTTAGAATGATAAGTTAAGTACTTATGGTATTAGATGATATTTTTTAAATTATGTTACGGTGAGATATTTATGTTATTGATTGGTATAATTGTAATTAAAGATGTTAAAACGAGTTAAGTCAAACGAGTCGATCGTCAGACCACCTAAAAAATGACGAGATAAGTTGATAGTTTTATCCTGTTAATTTATTTTGGTTCGTCTTTCTTAGCTTCCCAACTCAACGAGGTTGGTCCGCTTTAAAAAATATTTATATATTAAAATAAAAAATACTATAATAAAAAATATTATTTTTATATAATAATTAAGGAGTAATAAATACATTCATAACTTTGATGATAAATCTCTTTTATCTTGAAGAGTTCAAATTAAACGTAGGATCCATCAAATTTTCATACAAATCATTGTATCCAACTTACATCTTTCTCTACAAATCAATCATCTCATTTCTTCTTTTACGGAATGTAACCAGATCTAAACATAGTTATAATCAGATCTAAACATAGGTTATATCTTCTCCCCTAATAAACTAAAGATGTTGTGTTGATTAAAGGGTTCTTAAGTCTTATCCAACTTAAGGATTTTTTATTTGAGATTAAAGGATTGTTAAGATGTTATATATGTGGACATGTTAAGCTAATTACAAGCTAATACTAATCCCAAGTATGTTTCAAACAAAATGTTGTTGTTGAGATTCAACCTCGGAGACCCTTGAGTTCACGATTTTCAATTATCCATAAACACACATGTTTATTTAATTTATTATTATTATTAGTTATTACATTATATATATTCTATTTAAAAGGAAGATTGTTTTATCTCACGTATGTTATGATAATATTATTAAGGTCATTTTTATATTTGTCCATTTTGAAATTCTAATTCGTCTCAAATTTATCTTTAAAATATGTTTAAGTGGATTAAGAAAAAAAGTGTATATAAATTATCATTGACCTCGACTCCTAAGTAACGTAAGACTCATAAATATTTATATATTTTTGTATTATATTTTATTATAATTTTTCTTCAATTTATTATATTATATAAGAATATAATAAAAAGATTTCAATTAAAAATCTTGACATGAGACGTATAAAAAAATAAAATTATTAATCTATTATAAGAATCTAAATTTAGTTCTAAAATTAAAATAAAATTTTGAAAAGTATTTTTTTATAATTATTTTCTATTTTAAGTTAATTATTATCATTATATAATTTAGTTTTGTAAAATAAAATTTAATTCATATAAAGATTAAATTATATTTTAATAATAATATATAAAAATCTATTAAATAAAGACTAATGTAAAAGATGAAAAATATTTTTAAGAATTATTTATTTATTACTATTTAATGAATAATTAACAAAAATATATTCTTTAAAAAAATAAAGAACATTAATTTATTTTTTAAAAAGAAACCCAACTGGAGAGAGGAACAAGCATGATAATCCATTCTATTTCCTATTTATATTTTTCTATAAAACAAAACAACAGCTCTGTTTTCTACTGAGAATCATCACAACACAAATCAAATTAATGAAATTGATAACTTTCTCAAACTCAAGATTTCACCCAAAAAAGCAAAATATAATCGCATTTAAAGAGAATCTCAATTTATTTTTCTCTTTAAACCTTCAAATTTTATTGAAGACTTACTAAATATTCTAAACTTTAAAATTATTCTATACCCTAAATATATTTAAGCTTTCACATATTGAAATAGAAAATAAGGATTCGATCATTTTAAACAGAAAAAAATATTTCTTAATTTGATAAATGGTATTTTTTGAGGAACCATAGATGGTTTATTTAATAAAGGAAAAACTAAAAAATTAAAACTACGCATAATTAATAATTCTAACTCAAAAAGTTAAAAATCAAGTCTATTTTTTTCTATTATATTTTTATTATCTAAAATTTGGAACAAATACAAATTATGATCCTTTAAATAAAATAACAAAACATTTCGGTCCTCAACTGTTAAAAAAAGAATAAAGAAAACATTGAAATTAATGGTCTAAATATACGTTTAAGAAACTAAATCTTTATTTTTAAATTTAAAGAAATATTTTTGTAAAAAAATTAAATAAAAACTGATTTAATCACAAATTATAAAAATTAAGGCTTTTTTCGTTCCGTGCAAAATGGTCATTTCACTTATCTAAAACTGTTATGCAGAAACCCTAATTAATGAATAAAGCAGAGTGGCTGAGAGGAGCCACAAGAGAGTACAGAACGCGGAAACCCTAGAATACAAATCCCTAATCGTCCAAGGGCAAGAGCTTAGGCGGCGATCTCCTCCTCTTCTGCGACAAAATGGTATCGTTCCCATCTTTCTGCGTAGTTTTTGCTACATGGGCATTCTTCTAAAGATGCGTCTTTCTCTTTTGGCAATTTTAAGTTGTTATTTTTTATGCTGTGTTTGGAGAACTGAGCTTTAATATGGTCTTAATTACAGTCTCTGGTGGCAAACGAGGATTTCCAGCACATTCTGCGTGTGCTGAACACAAACGTCGATGGGAAGCAGAACATTATGTTCGCTCTTACTTCTATCAAAGGTATTGGCAGGCGATTCGCTAACATTGTTTGCAAAAAAGCCGATGTCGACATGAACAAGAGGTATGAGCAAGAGTTTTCGTTTCATGAAACCATTTTTTATTTGTTTCTTCTTGGTTAAAACATTTACTTTATTTATTAGTCTCTATATGTATAACGAATTTTCCATTTGGTTTCATACCTAAAAACTTTTTAAATTGGTTTTTATGCGTGTAAAAGCTTATTGAATGTCCTACACCTACAGGGGGCAGATTAAAAATGTGTTGCATGTATATAGACCACATTAAGAATGAATAACGGTGATAATTAGAATTTTAGTTCGAGAACCTATGATGGCTACAAACTTTTGTTATGCTTTTTTTATTCACATAAGCTTTGTTTTTATTTAATTTAATGGTTTTTTTATTCGAATGTGCTTTCTTATTTTCAGATATTAGTTGGCTTTTGATTTTGAATTAATTTCGGTTGTTTGTTTACAGAGCTGGGGAATTGAGTGCTGCCGAGTTGGATAATCTTATGACTGTGGTTGCTAACCCAAGGCAATTCAAGATCCCGGATTGGTTTTTAAATAGAAAGAAGGACTACAAGGATGGGAAGTATTCTCAGGTGGTGTCAAATGCACTGGATATGAAATTGAGGGATGATTTGGAGCGGTTGAAGAAAATCAGGTGAAGTTTTAAACGTTGGTTGGTAAAGTCTTACTATTAGAAGGCGTGATTTCTCGTTCTATTCGATTGGGAATGATGGTTTTCAGTGTAGTTCTGGCTATTTGATATCGATACAGGTTATGGTGATATCCATTAGTGTTTAGTGCTGTTCAAAACAAGCCTGTGTAGACAAAGCCTTGATGACAATGGGAGATCTATCCCCAAAATATATAAGTTGAATATATCGAGTAGCTCAAAAATCATCTGATTGATGTGTGATGAATGATTCATTTTCTGATTAAATATGTAATGAATCATGTGATCAATTTCTTTTTCCATTTTAATTTGAATTTATGCTGTCGATAGTCTTCTTTCCATGATTGTTTATTGTTTGCCTATCTTTTTGATACTGAAGAATGATTGTTATAGACCTGACTGAATACAATATTTAGTTAGTCTAGGACTGATTTATGCTATAAAGCAAGTATTTATAAAGTAGTTTGCTGATTGTTACCAACTATTTGTAAGAACATCTGTACTGTTAATAATTAGTGCAAAGAACTGATTATAATCATATTGAATATACCGATAGTGGTCTCGGATAGGTAGTTAGTATCTCAAAATCTTGGAAGATCCTTTTGCTTGCATACTCTTGGTAGGCTATTCATGTTGTGGTATTGAATGTTTTTCTTTTTCAACTGTGTAAATAGCTTCACACAGCTCATGGTTGTCAGTTCAGAAGGAACCAGTACTTTGACTGATTGTAATAACCTATTAAGCTTGTACAATATTTTGGTGTTCTTGTTCTTGTACATAACTAGTGTTACCATTACAGGTTCGTGTAGAAAATGACATGACAATTTGATTTTGCTGTAACTTGTGAACATGGTGTCTTTGTGCGCTTGTTGAGTTGTGTGTCCGTTTGCATTTATAGGTAATAAATAACACTTAACATCAGTTATTCTTACTATTATGCAGAAATCACCGTGGTTTGAGACACTACTGGGGTCTTCGTGTTCGAGGCCAGCATACCAAGACAACTGGTCGCAGGGGTAAAACTGTTGGTGTCTCTAAGAAGCGTTGAGCTGTTACATTTTTGCTATGAGGATTGATATTGTTAGGGAAGCAAATTTTGAATTTCATTAAGTGTTTTTTTCCATAAAAACAAAATTCTATTGGTTGTTAAGGTTTATGATTTCTATTTTTTTACTTTACCTGGTGTTGAGATATATAAAAGGAGATTGATTGTATTGAAACATAACTTGAGAAAACCAAGTGCATAGGCAGGAAATGAAATCAAGCAGAATAATCGGATTCTTTTCCCCTTCCCTACCAACCACCTGCCCATCTTCCCTACTTGACACAATTTCACAGCATTATAAAATCGTTATAAAGAAATATTTTTATTTTTTGTCTTCATAATCTTAATCAAATGAAGCAAATCAATATAACAATCATATACATTTGAATGAAAACAGAGCAATTCGAGTTTTCAAGTTCATCAAGTTAGGGTTTAACGATGGAAGTAAACTCTCAGTGGAGGTTCATATAAAGAGCAGTAGAGAAAATGTAGAAGAACTCTGAAGATTTAGACAATTTGATTAGTTAGAAGTAAAATAGGAATCTTGGTGGAACAAGAAAAGGTAATGTTGGAATTTGTTAACTTACTGACAAGCTTGAGTTGATAACAAAATCAATATGTTCCCTTTTTTTTGCTTCTCCATTCTTCTAGAGATTTTTATAATGGTTAGGTAAAATCAAAGCCATTTTTTTCTGCTCTTGTTGACCGTGATAATCGAGAACAATTGGTCAAGAAATTGTTTCAACTTGTTTAGAAATTTCTTGTTTAAGATATATATATATATATATATATATATATATAGGTTACATCACGACTAGTACATTGATAAATTTTGACTCATTTCCTCCATTTTCTCTGGACTGGATCTATATAGGTAAGAATGAGCTCAATTCATTTTAAATAAGCAACAGATTATTAAATTAATTTTTGAACACTTTAAAAAAAAAATTAAACTAGAAACTTATAAAAAGAAAACTATTTGATTTATATAACATAATATTAAATTCTACCGTAAAAACAAACAACAACAATAGTCATATTTCTAATTTTATAATTTTCTAAGTTAGATAATTTATATAAAATGAAAGGTTTTATAACTCTTCTAAAAATAAAATTTTAATAAATAAAGATGTACTGTAATATTCAAGCAATATTCCACCTTATCTTTAATCTAGTGTTCTACAAATTCTGTATTTTAATTAAGTCATTTAAAACAACCCAAGTTCCAAGCTTGTACATTTGTATACTTCAACTTGATAGAGGGGATAAAAAAAAAGATGTTATGTGCTGTGTTTAACTTGTAAAAACCGACGTAATTTACTTTGTACATTAGGCAGTAGTCATTTTAACTTATTTTTACCTTTTCCTCTGAAGTACACATCATTGCCAACTGAGTGATTACACACTCTCAAGCTTTCATCTAAATTCCCTTGAGTTCCAACATCTATTACTTATGTCATCACTATAATAGTAACAGTTACTAAAACCCAATGAAAAGAATTAACAACTGTCACAATCACCTCTTGGTAGTATAGACAAGGACAAACCTTTGACTAAATGCATTAAATTTATAATGTCATTAGGTCTGACAAATCCCCTGATTTAAGGATTAAAGACATCGTCAACCTTATATTATCAAAGATGTGAGAAGAATACTAAACTCACATGCCTTAATGTGCTGAACACATGAATAACTGAAGCAACCTCAACTGTTCACTGTTAAAGTACAGTACAGTTTTCAAATGATGAGTCAAGAAAGAATATAGATATATTCAAATCTAATCATTCCAAAGATGAAAATTTTTGCTGGGAAGCTAGATCTATGAGGAAATATCAAATGGCCCTAAGAATCCAAAGAGATAAATTTTAATGAATTACAAAATGAGATTGAAAATAATTAGGAACCAATGAGGTTTAATTTAAAATAATTATAACACTTTCCTAGAATCAGCTATCTTTGTATGCTCAACTAAGATAAATAATGCACCCCACTTGAAAACAACAAAAATTAGTGAATGTTGTTTAAACTATCATGTTTCTGTTTTGTTGGTAGGAAGAGAATGGCTCCGGCGCTCCTTTCCACCAGGCTTGGATGAGGCATTGCCATACCACATCATTCCAACAACAGCTATAACCATTCCAAAAACCACGTGGAGATTCAGGCCCTCTTTACCAAAGAAAAAGAACCCCATGATTAAAACAAGTATTGTCTTCATATGTCCCAATACTTGAAAAGAAACAGCAGTGAATCTTCCAATGCAGATAAATTGGCTTAGGTTGGTACCAACTGCAATGGTGCATGACAGGAATATGAATATCTGCCAAAACCAAGACAAAGATGATTCAGCCACTCAGTGAAAGGGATAAGTAAATATCAAACAACAAAATCTCACGATTTATCATGTTCATCTACAATTTGATTGAATGAAGTAAATACTATGAGTCTGCAGCTAAAGTAGGTTCTTCAATTTGGACTCCTCTTAAATTTGTTCCCCAAACATGTTTTTCTAGAGCATCAAATTTTGTCAATTTTACCCCCTCAAAATTTGTAAGTTATTAATGAAATGTGATTAATATTGCTATGAAAGTCATATCATATATGTCAAACACATTTATTAACTGCAAAGCTAAAGGTGTGAAAAGCAGAAATATGGAAGAGATAACAATGTTGCTTTAGAAGAGTGATCAAACAAAAAATAAACAATGAGATAAAAAATGAATATTAGAGATTATGTAGGAGTGACACCTATTGACAAAAAATGGTGGAATAATGCCTAAGATGGTTTAAACATGTGAGATGAAGACAATGGAAGACACAGTTAGAAGAGTGCTCAGATGGATGATAACCCAATTTATTAGAGTTAGAGAACGACCAAGAAAAACCCCAAGTGAAACCAACAAAATGGATTTAGATCGAAATGATATCTTGGAAAAATAGGTTTTGATGGAACAAGATGGTTTAATTTGATCCACATAGCCAGCCACAACTAGTGAAAAAGCTTCCTTTTTTTTTTTTGCAATTACAATTAAAAGAAGTCTTTCAGTTCAGAGGCTCAGCATGAGACCAAATCTGAAGAACTTCCAAAAGTATTACTAACAGAAGTCCATTAATAGTAGCTAGAAATTTAAATTTAACAAATAAGGATCTAAACAAATTTGTAGCATAAAAAGAAAAGAATATGGAAGAGCCCAGGCACATATGTAAGTTGATTACATAGCTAAAGGAAAGAAAAATGTATCAATATGTCATGTATACACAGATTAGAGTTGAGCATTATAACCAAAACCATATACATCATATGCATGCACAATATATGACGATACATTTGCAGGTAAAAATATCAAATTAATATTGATTTAACGTATTAAGCTCTACTATAACATAAATATCATAAATCTACATATGCGTATACTTATTTTCTCCAAGAGTATGAATGAGCTAGTCCCTAAATATTTAATTTAACAACACGAATATTTTTCCATCATCCAGAACTTACCATCGAGGCAGTGTTGTAGTCATATCTGTCAACTCTTGTGTTTGTCAACCAATAATCAAGAAAAGGTCCCAATAACAGTAGTGAAGCAGCCTGTGCAGGTGCTGTATGTCCCAACAGGTTGAAAGAACTTAGAGAATACTTCCGTTGAAGGTAATGAACATACTGCACATAAAATTCAAATTAATACATAATAAGTAATACAAAAGAGTAACATCAGGCTGACATTAGTTGTACATGCATCTATTCACGTCTGTTTATATCTATTTGAGTTTATAAAGCCAATCAATGGCACAGGGAGATGTCATACGCACATATTGTTGCATAGAAGTGCTCCATACTGCAATAAAGGCAGCAACGAATCCTCTTGTGTTAACACTCACATCAGTAACAGTGCAAACACCAACACCCAAAAGAACAACACCTATGCTCAGTTTTGTATCTCTTGAATACCGAATCTTGTCGAGAACAACTTCCAACAGGCATGATACAGGAATCATACTCAACTTTGCAATCTGCCAATTGTTAAAAAGTGAATATAACTTCTGAAGGCATTAAATCAATGAACCAATAGAAAAAGCTCAGCCCAACTCACTTGATAGAATCCAACTGAGTTCCACATTAGACTAACATTCATTCCAACAATAGAGAAGTTAGCAAAGACAACAAATTTTAGAAGATCCGGCAAGGGTAAATGAGAATGCTGGACATATCCCAGCATCTTTAGTATGATTGTCATTAAAGTTGTGGTCGCGAAGTGCATGCCTGTTAATGTTGTAGCTGCAAGTAGTAATCGGCAAAATGCATTAAAAGATAAGAAATTAACATTAGAGCATGGTCATATACTACCTGGGAAAAGGCTACGTAGACCAACGACAGAGATGTCAGTAAAAAATTTGAATGGGGAATTTAATTACCGAAACTGAAGCCATAAGTGCCCATCAAAGCTTTGTTTACAATGATAATTCCAACAGATGTTACAACATTGAACATCCATGCAGCTGCATCCACTGCAGCCTTTTTATCAGCCTTGCTAGCTGGAGCCATGTTCTTTCTGCTTCTCAAACTTTACCACTGGTGTTTCCTACCTAAACTCCATAGCACTCTATCCACAATAAAATGACATATGCCAGTCAATTCATCTAGCGAAAAAAGAAGCCTGGAAAAGTTGAAGAAGAAAAATAATTTTCAGATCTAGATTATATTATTGAAAATCAATCATTCCACAAAACAACCGTAATCTAAATCATCTTATGACAATAAAAAAGGTCAGAAACTAACGTGTGAAATAAAGGCCATTCGTTTCATAATTTATAAAACTAGCAATGATTAATGTATAAACCCGAGAATCTACCCCATTTTCTTTTATCTCTGAGGAAAGGTCTATTTTGGTAGAAACTTGACACCAAGACAATAAAGCAATTGATACAGACTAGAAGTCAGTATCATTCAGTAACGTTTATAAAAGAAATTGCTACGTACACCTAAGACTCTATTGGAAATTTAGAGCATTTCCAGTACATAATCTCTCAAAAAACTCTTCTAGCCTTCTATCAAAACAGGCTCTTTGATTTCAAGGTTTAAAAATTAAAACCAAATAATACACATCATATCCTCGGAGGATAGTCACGTAATATCACACCTCCATTTTCTCATCCATACTCAGTAAATTGCACCGTTCTTTTGTTAAAGGGAATATTCACAAAGAAACCAATATGATTTGCAAATTCGAAAGAACCCACCTATTGGCTAACTTAAAGACAAAAATCTTTAAAGAATAGCACGATGGATCACTTTCATTGCCAAAATCACACCATACCGCCAAAACATTGTGGCTTTCAACCCAACCCCCCATGATATCCTGACAGTTTTAAAATTCAGAAGTTCAAAATAAGAAAACTTTGTTGTTCACAATTAGCACCAGATCTGCGAGAAAATGGATTTAACACACCAATTTTTGAACACAGCACAACCCATTTGCATAAAAAACGTCAATTCAAATTCTGATTTACCAAATGACATTTGCCTATAACAAAAGATAAAATTCATTGATCACGGTTGGCTGCAATGACATCAGCTATTACAACATAGGAAGGTTTCACAATGCACCACAACTTTCACATCTAATCACAAAAGAGAGATCATCATATTCTATTTTTCACATCCACCACAAATAGATCCAGAGAGGGGTCTCAGATCCAGAAGGGCAGCATTGAAAATTAGTCGAGAGAAAGATAAGATCAGGGAAGGAACAGCCTCGTATTCACAAAATTCTATTTTTCTTCGGGTTCAGAGTCAAATTGCAAGTTTTTAAGATTCAGTTACGAATGGGATGGAAAAAATCACAACTTTCGGTGACCCTTTTGCTGTGGTGCAAAAATGATGCAAACAAGAGGGTGATTGAGAGAGAAGGAGAAGCTCACCATTCATGGATGTGACACTGTTAATGCTGATAGCGTGAGAAAATGGAAGAAGAAGAGCGTGGCTTTTGGGGTGTGTCTGAGATTTGAGGTTCGAGTTTCTCACTTTTTTTCGCTTTTGGTTATTTTTCTTTTTAATTATGTATTCGATTTCTATATTCATAAATAAATTAATTGGGTCATTTAATTATCTAGCTGCATTAATTGGTCTCTTTGTTTAATTGATTATAAACTATAACCACCTTATTCAAATTAAACATGTGTTATTTCTTTTAGATGATCATCAATAACACTAACACGAGTAATTAAATGAAAAAAGAAGACAAATTGGTGTATAACAACCTTAAACTATGATATAAAAAAATTTTGATTTAATTCTTGAGATTAAAAGACTTTTAATCTATGGATTAAAAAAAACTATCTTTTCATTGTTAATTACGTTATAATTATTATTGACGTACATTAATCATAACACCCGTCATTAAAATAATAACATAAAATTTATTTATTTATATTAAATTTTATTTTAGTCATGTAAATATAAATATGCTTTGTTCGTCTATCAAATATAAAAAATATATTTGAATTTTTTAAAATTTAAAGTAATTTTTAGTCCTTCAAATTTAAAATTAATGTTTTAATTTTTAATTTAAAAATATTTTTAATTATTTAATTTAAAAATAATATAAATTTAAATAATGTATTTCTATTCTTAAAATTAATATTATTAAATATTTATTGATATAACTAATATATATATATATATATATAAATTTAATTTAAAAATTATGATTTTTTTTTCATTCTTTCTTTTTCTTTAGGCAGTCGTATAAGTTATTATTAGTGTAATTATAGCAGTACAAACTATTTTATTTTCTAACTGTTATTCTTTTTTTTTAGTTTTTATATATAATCACATAATAATTATAATATGAAAATCGATGGAATCAATCAACGTAAACTATTTAATCGGAAACTATTTTGAAAACTGATTTGTTAATTGTTGTTTTAAAATTTGATTTTAATTAAACTCAGATAAAATTGATAAAAACTGATAAATAATTTAAATTTTAATTCTTATTAACTTAAAAAAATTAACATAATTTTTAAACATTAAAAGATAATTTTTTATAAATGATATAATATTTTTTATAATTTTTTCATTTATTTCACATGAATAATGTAAATTTTAAATAATTATTATTTTATATTTAATTTTTTTATTACAATCTATGATAATATTTATTATTATAATTATTTTTTAATAAAAAGTATTAATAATAATAATTTATAATATTATAAAAATATTTTTTCATTAAATTGTATTAAACTTTAATATTTAAATCTTAAATAATAATTTAAAAAAATATATGGTGTTATTATTTTTTATTTCTTTTTTTGTTAATTCTATTTTTAGGGTACAACGTTGTAGAAATGGAAAAGAGACTTTTTTGTTTTTTGTTTTTTTAATATCTGGAGTTACCAAAACACCCTCTTAACGCCAATTAAATGGAAAAGACATAAAATTAATGTGTTTTAAAAGTTGATTAATCAGATAAAACTGTTTATTAATAGAAAAATTAAAGCATTTAAAGAAATAGAGACATCATAAGAATATTTTATCTTTGATTTTAAATGTTAATTTGATTTAAATATTATACTAGCCCCTTTATGAGATTTTCCTTCAAGTTTATAATTAATAAACCTCCGATTCTTACTTAAAAAAATAGTACAACTCCACTAACGCAGTTACAGTGTTGATATAGATGGACATAATTTGTAAAATAGTTTTGCCTAAATTGATAATCTTTAATAAATATTATCATTTTTAAAGTAAATAATTTTTCAATGCAGATAAATAATCCAAATCGTGTGAATTAAGTTTGCATAAAATGTTGTCGTTCACATTTGCAATTCTACCAAAAAAAAAACTTATATATAAATATATTTGATGTAGCAGCGTTGTATTTACTTTTCACTTGCTTCCGTGCATGAATAAATAAGTTGTGCAATGAATATATAAAAATAAATTCCAACTTTCAAGATTATAATAAAAAGGAATTAACATTGGAGATGTACTATTATAATTTTGAATTATTTTTTTATGTATTAAGTTGAATCTCAATACTCATTGAGATAAAAAAACAAAAGATTATTTATTGATTATTCACCAATAAAGTTTTCCTCGTTTTATTAGGAGAGTTTAAACTCATAAAATTTTAGATTTTGTGTATATATAAATTGGATTTAATTCTATTGAAAAAAAAAACATATAGTATTTGAAAGAGAACATGTAACGACGTAATTATTTGGAAATTGAAAATGCATTAAACTAATGAAAACTCTATTAAGTTTAATAATTTTTGTAATTTTTTATTTTTTATAATAATTTTTTAAGTGTTTTTTTATTGATTAGTATATTAAAAATTTGTTGGATTTAGATTTAAAACTGGTAGGAGAAAAACAATTAGTAATCTCTACCATTTTAGTTATATGGGATGTTGTTCAAATTTTAGAAAAGAGTATTAATTGTGGTTGTAAAAAAACTTTGGAGAAGTTAGGATTTAGGAATATCTAGTAAGATAAATTCGATATTTAAGAAGTAAAATATCTAGTTAAAAAGTGTATGTGTGATGGGATGTGTTAGTGAAAATAGAAATGTATGTTTAGGTTGTTTTTTATATCTTAATATATGATTTATGCATGATTGTGATATAAATAATTTGTATTATAGGATATTAGGATGAAAAAATATTGAAAATTGGGTAAACCTCTTTATCCGACTGTATCTTTACTCAACCGATACATGTATTACTTGAGTTAAGATAAGACTATGAAAAAGATAATTTAAGGTAGTAACAATTTGATCAAAAGAGATTTTTTTACTTAAACAAAGAGTTAAGTCAATTTAATTCTCACTTAAACAAAGTATTCCAAGAGAATAATGAGTTAATAGAGTTAAATTCTCACTCAAATGAGAGTTCTTGTTCAAGTGAGAGACCTTTAGAAGTTGATGTGGTTTATGATGTAATTCTAATTCAAACGAGATTAATTATGTCACAATCTTGCTTAAGAAATAAAAGAGTATGTATGATAATTGATTTGATACAATAGTGTTGTGTGAGTATGACATTGAAATATATTTATGTGTGAGGTTAAAATGAGTTAGAGATGTGATCTATCATACAAAATATATGGTTTTGAATATTCAAAGAAATATTGTATGGTACTAACGTGACTATTATGTTTATATAAGTTCAATGAGATCTTAAGTTCCAATGATAACTCCACTCAAATAGATTAATGTATTAGTAGATGAGGAGCTCGTGAAGAATTATTGATGACTTATCTTGAGATAATGAGAGATGCGCAACACAACATATAATATTTTTTGATAATTTTACTTTGTAAATACAGAAGTCACTCTAATGTTAGTTAGAGAGTATTTAGTACGATGTTGATTTCAATGTATCCTAAAAATGTTAGCCCCTGAATTTGTCCTTTAAAAAATATATATATTAAATTTGATATGATATAATGATATATATATTAGTATTGTAATTAGGTTGAATAGTTATATTTTAAATAATAATTTATTCTTATTTTCTTATTTATATGATTTGACTT